AATATGCAAGGTGGATTTAGCATTCCATGGCAGTACAACGTGCATGCTTGAGTAAATGCATTGCGTTCGGTGGCATGAGCGGTGTTCTGACAAACTGCGCCACCCCCTCAGCATGAGCTACCCATAGTTGGAACGGTCAGAGTAGTTTGTCAGAATGAAGCGGGTACAACAAAAAGTTGAGGTGTGTATGTGTTGTAAGATGACAAGGGGAAGGGTCATCCAGGACAGGTATTTCAGGAACGATCTGCTCAATATACTTGACTTAGACCTGAGCAAGATGGCCGCCAAGAGAAACCAGCTGACCCGCAGATGGAAAGGGCTTATTCCGAAAAACAACGAGACACAGGTGTGTCTCATCAGGAAACAAAATATATATGCCCTGGAAACAGTGAACCAGCGCGGAAGCCAGTAGGTGAATCTGTTTTGGAGGAGATAGTGGAATTAGGCTGGTGTTGGTACAGATTGAAGGATAACAGATTAACGGAAGAAATAAAGGATTTTGGTTTACCGTATGTGATTTGGATACGAAGTTGATTTGTGATACTTTACGGACTTTGGAAATTGGACTGAAAAAGGATTGACAGAACGGGTTGTGGACTGCCTTGGAAGATGAATGAACTGGGGAAATGGAGAAAAACTCCACGAAAATTAAAGAAGAGAAGTGTGAAGGTGTGAGTACTTTTCTCAGTTACATAAACCTTTCCCCCGGAGGCACCACAGTGTCTGAAGTTGTATTGTTGAATCGTTTTGCCTGAATAATTGATTATCAAAATATTCATTGTTGTAGCCCTAAATGACAGTGATCTGATTTAGTCTAGCCTCCAATATATGGATGATATTTTTCTTGTTAAGCAGAAATAATTGGTTCTTTTTTGTATTTCTTTAATATTTTCTTTTTTAGTGTTGACTAAATAACCTGTACCCAATCAGCTAATCACTAATGTTTATGCAACTGTCAAATCCACTTCAGTGGATCATGGTCAATCATTAATAAATAATTAATCAAAATGATTAAATCCAAAGCATTTAAAATACAGAATCCACATGCATTATTATTTTATTTTTTTCAACACTGCATCTCTGAGGAATTTAATATTTTTTAAAAAACGTATGTGCTTTTTTTCAAATCCTGCAATGTTTTTTTTTTTACTTTGTGTTGTTAAAAAGACCAGAATTGTTTTTTTGATAATTCCTCTGAAGCCCCAAGAGTACAGCTCTGTGCTGCGCTTACAGGATGTTACATGATCAAGTTCTGGTAAGGAACACCAGCAGCTGTGTATTGTGAAATTTAATTTAACATCAGGAAACATTTTTCAAAAGGACCTTTAGGACTTCAAAAAGTCAATATAAAATTGTTTAAAAAAATATTTTCAGACAAGAAAGCAATACTGTTTTCTAACCATGGTTCTTGAACCAGAACTATTTTCAGAACTAAATATGTATGGTAATATTACTATTGACTTAAATTAGTAAAATTGTCAGTAGTTAATGGAAGCTTGATTTTTTTTCCACGATTTTTAAAAAGAAACTCTATGGAATTGCCACTTCAAATCCCATGCAGTATTGAATCAACAAATGTCTGCACTACAAACCTCATCATGCCTGGAAAGCCACAGGTATCAGTGGAGCACATCACACCAGTGTACCATAGCCAGTTCAAGTCAAATCCAGCAGCACTTGGCCAATTGTGGGCTCTGCTTGGACAA